GAGGAGGAGGAGGAGGAGGAGGAGGAGAAGAAGGAGCAGGAGGAGGAGGAGGAGGAGGAGGAGGAGGGGAGGGAGGGCGTGGCGGGGCCCGAAAGGAGATCTTGCGTTCGCGCGCAAAGCGGGACTGACTCTGCACGCCTTTCCTGGTCAGCGCTGTTTGAACATGCGACAGAGGATGAAGGGCTGGAAGTACCATGCAGGTAGTCTCCTGCGTCCATGGGAAGAGCGCCCTCTCTGTGCCTCCCTCCGCATTCTCGCGCCCTCCTGTGGGTCCTCGTGGGGCGCTCCTGTCGCGCGTTGGGGGCCCGGCTGGAGGACATCTTGGGCCGTCTTCGTGCCTCCCTGTGCAGAAGGGGGACTCGATGATGACTCGGACGGGAAGGCTCAGGAGGCTCCGATGGCGACACGTCCTCCTCCTCCTCCTCCTCCTCCTCCTCCTCCTTCTCCTCCTCCTCCTCCTCCTTCTCCTCCTCCTCCTGCGAATTTCAGCGCCCCTGCTGGGCACGGGTTCGACCAGCTATTGGCCCGTACACCATCGTGGCCGAAACTGCCAGCAAGCTGACCCCTTTTAACCGAGCCCCGATGTGGTCGCATATAATAACTCCTCCCCCTCCCCTTCCTGCAAATAGGGTCGCGTCATCCGCCCAGCGGCACCTTCACGTTCTGGATGGTCCCGCGAAGGTTCTGCCCGCGGTATTGGTAGGGGCTCCCCACGGTCAGGTGTGGCCTGCAGAAGCAAATCAGCTCAAGTCTAGGCATTCCAGAAGGGGTCCGAACAGGTGGGGTCGGAGGATCGCGCCGCACCACCGCCTATGCATCGGCGATGCGGGTCGATGTGCAGCTCAATTTCCTCCACGCTGCCGCAGCCGATGCATCGCCGATGCATCGGCGATGCGGCGCGAGCCTCCGACCCCACCTGCTCGGAACCGTGGTGGGGAGCCTCCACGGCAGCAGCGAGCCCCACCTCGCCCTTCCCATCTCTAGGAGACCTCTCCCGAGGAGGGGTCCCGAGGCCTCTCCCGGTGCACGTCGAGGCCCTCTCTCTGCTCGGACCCCGCCCGGAGTCGGGAGGCCTCCCTCCTCTCCTCGGACCCCCCGCGTCGGGACCCCCCAGCTCGTCCCTGCCTCTCCTCGGAGCCCCCGCGTCGGGAGGCCTCCCTCCAGGCGGGCCCCTCGGGGCCTCGCCCTGGCCGGCGCTGCGCAGGAGCGGCGCCTCGCCCGGGGGATGGCCTCCGGGGCGCGGGGCCCCGCGGGGGGTCCGCGCGGCGCCCGCCGGCGCGCCTGGGACGTGGCCCGCCCTGCGTGGCCACCCGGAGCCTTGCACCTCGTGGGCCCCCGGGGTCTTGGCAGCGCTCGGACGTGTGCATTTGCTCTCGGCGAGAACCATCGAGAACCATCCTGGACCAGCGAGCAAAAAAAGGCACGCACGAGGCTGACGAGTGCACGGGAAGTGGACGTCCGAGCGACGGCAAGGGATGGGGTCCTGCGCCGGAGCGGGTGGAGACCACCTCGGCAGAGGCGCGGCGCGCCGACTCCGGGCGGTGTCGCCGCAGAGGAGGGCGGCGTCGTAGACGCCGCCACAGCAGAGCTCACGGCACGCGCACTTGTGCATAGACTGCCCCGCGTGTGCGCATGGACGCTGCAGGAAAGAAAAAGATGGGGTCCGAGTAGATGGTGTCGGAGGATCGCGCCGCATCGCGGTTCGATGCGGTTCGATGCGGAGCCCGATTTTCTTCGCCTCGACGTCGCCGATGCATCGCCGATGCGGCGCGATCCTCGGACCCCATGTACTCCGACCCCATCTAGGGCACCTCTAGCCCCAGAGGTCACTCTTGCCTGGGGTCGTTCTTGCGTGTAGCTGACCTGGGCCATCCGTTCTCTATCTCGGTATTGCGCTTCCTCTGGGATCCTGGCGTCCCGATTTTTTCGAGCCGCGCGTTTCCGCCTTTTTCTGGGCTTCGGGACCCTCACAGATCGATCCGGCTCGAAAAATGACGCAGAGAGATCGGGTCTAGGGCTCTGGGCGCGATTTTGTTGTATTTTTTCGCCGCGTCGGATCCCAGGGTCTTCACCTCGCACACTGCAGCCCCTGCTTCAGCCCCTAGGTGCCGTGACGCCGCCCCGCGACCGCTGCCAGGGGGGTACAGCTGTTGGCTGGCCGCTCCGGCCCCTCCACGGCGACGACCCTCGCCATGCGAGTGCCCTCCCTTCCTTCTCTCAGGAGAGGAAAAAACACAGACACAATTATTCCTCGATTCCCAAGAAAATATAGGAAAATATGGGCAGTGGGGGAAGACAGAAACCCAGAAAATATGGGCAAATATTGGGAATATTTTTATTTGTGTGTATTTATTTGTGTGTCCCTGGGCCCCTTCATTCCCTCCTCCCTCGCGGCCGCTTTCGCCCGTGTTTCCCTCCTCTCGCCGCTGGTGAATTCGGGCCTTGCGTTGCCCAGACCGCCTGGGCGCGCGTGCGGACTCCCTTTGGCCGCTTTTGCGACGTAAAGTGTAGCCGACCTTGTCCATCATTCAGGAGGAAAAGAAACACACAGACACAATTACTCCTCGATTCCCCAGAAAATATAGGAAAATATGGGAAGTGGGGGGGGAAGACAGAAATCCAGAAAATATCGGACATTACTCCGACGGAAGAACCCCGCATGGGAATTTTCTGGGCGAGTATGGAAAAAACCCTCACCGTCGTCCTCGTGGTTGGTGAGGCGTCCTGGCTGTCTCTTCTGCGTATATTTCTTCTCGCCCTGGCGCGGGCCCTCCCCCCGCTCCCTACGTTGCCCCCGACCTCGCCTTCCTGTTTTGGCTCCGGACATTCAGAAAGTGGCCCGGGAGTTGTGTGCTGGGAACACGAAGAACACGAAGTGGCCTACAGTTGGCTCCGGGCATTCAAAATGTGGCCCGGGAATGGTGTTTCGGGAGCACGAAGAACACGAAGTGGCCTACAGTTGGCTCCGGGCATTCACAATGTGGCCTGGGAGTGGCTTTCTGGCAACGCGAGAGCCCAAAAGTGGCGACAGCTAGAAGAATTTGATGTCCCGTTCAGATTAGTAACATGATCAGCGGGCCCCATAGGGAGGGGGCTCCCGCTCAAGATTTCTTCAAAATTCACTCACACATGTGGCGTGGGAGTGGCGTTTTGGCAGCGCGAGAGCCCAAACGTGGCGACAGTTAGAGGAATTTGATGACCCGCTCGGATTAGTAACATGATCCGCGGGCCCCATAGGGAGGGAGCTCCCGTTTTAGACTTCCTCGCAATTCACTCACAAATGTGGCTTGGGAATGGCGTTCTGGCAGCGCGAGAGCCCAACATTGGCGACAGTTAGAGGAATTTGACGACCCGTTCGGATTAGTAACATGATCCGCGGGCCCCATAGGGAGGGGGCTCCCGCTTGAGACTTCCTTGCAATTCACTCACAGACGAGGCCCAAGGCGAGTGAGTGAGTGACTGACTGACTGACTGACTGAATGGTGATGATGATCATCATCACACTTCCTCACGCGCACACCCATCATCATCATATGTGAGTTCATGAGCGTGTGAGTGAGTGAGTCCTGATGAGTCAGTGAGTGAGTGAGTGAGTGAGTGAGTGAGTGAGTGAGCTAGTGAGCTAGTGAGTGAGTGAGTGAGCGCACGAAGACAGAAGAGGAGAGGGGGTGAGGTGAGGAGGTTCCTGCGCGGGGTGTCCAGAGAAAACAAGAGCCCCACTTTGGATGTGGGGGAATATGGGGCATCCTTTTAATTGTGTGTATTTATTTGTGTGTCCTGGGGCCCCTTCAATTCTGGCCAGCTGTTCGAAAGTTGTCCGGCCGTGGCCAAAGCCCGAAAGTCTTCCAGACGACGGCGTCGTCGGCGCTGGTGCCGGGCGCACTCTGATCGAGGAGGCGGCGGCATCTGCTCGGCGGCCCCCAGGGCAGCCGCTGTGTTTTGTTCTGCTCCTGTGCATGGGGGAAGACCGACGCGATGACGAGGCTCGTGGGGCTCCCCGGGGTTCCTTCGGCGGCGAACCCCGGGGGGGGAGGTGGGAGGGGCCAGGCCTTCTCGGACGGCGGCGGGGCTTTTTCCCTCTCCCCTGGCCGTCGAGGCGCCGCCCCTCTGCCTCCGAGGGAGGCCCAGAGCGCTTCTCGGAAGCAGCGAGGGCCTCTGGGGAGTCCCGCCGCCTTCTGAAGAGGCCTCCCCCCCCACTTCTGGACGGGGGCAGGACGAGGACAAACTTGAGGATCAGTTCCCACCTCGCACTCCTCCCCCCCTCCGCGCTGGAGGTCGGAGGCCGTCCGGCCGCGCCGAAGCAACGGAAGGTGCTGCAGGGGTGCGTCGGCAAAGCGTGACAAACGTCCTTCGGGCGGAGTTGGGACGAGGATCAATCCGTGCCAGAGCGTCCGCGAGCGCTCTCAGAGCGTTCCAAAACGCTCTGAGAAGCCGCGGGATCTCGTAGATTCTAGATTTCTCACCTCCTCTCTGTCGTACACTTTCCCTCCAGGCTCGCCGCCGCTCCCCGGCCAGGCGCCGGATGGTATCCTGCCCTGGGCCCCTTCTGGAGCCAGGAAGCGCCGGGAGCTTCAGCACCGTGAGCTCACGCGCCAGCACCCCCTTTACTATCCTCAGGTCGGGCGCGTCCTTCTACGGGAGGATTTTGTGCAACAGATGCAGAGTACCCAGAACGTCATCAAAACATATTCCACAATAAGCTTAAACGATCATCCCCCGACTAGGTTTTGGCTACCCGTGAATACTCCTCCGGTAGAAGACACGCCCGACGTGATACTACAGTCGGACTCGATTGGACAGGACACGCGAGAGGACACGAGACCCTTCTGAGGGCCACATTGCCACAGGAACGTAGGAAGCATGGGCCGCGAGACACAGGACACAAGGGTACCCTTGATTTGGCAGGGTCGACCTGCTAATCTGGGCCGACTGTATCCTGCCCCGTCGTCCCCCCCTGGCACCCCCCCTGCCCCGGGCTCGACCCGCCGATCCCCGGCCAGGCGCCGGATGGTATCTTGCCCTGCCCGGCACCGGCGATGGGGAGCGCGCTCCGCGCCGCGTGCGCCAGAGTGGCGGCGAGCCGGGAGGACCGCGGGCCGCGGCCCTCGGGTTGATCAAGGGCCGGGGGGTCGATTCGGGCTGGACGAAAGGGGGGGGTAGGGAAAAGGGGGGGGGTACGAAATCTGCTGCATGCAGCTGCTATCGGCCCCACCGAGGGGCCCATTCCTGGATACATGGCTGCCTCCCGGCGCCGGGAGGCGCCGGGAAAAATCAGCTACGTGAGCTTCTTGTCAAACCCCCCCTTTGCTACCCCCCCTTTCGCCCGGCCCGAAAACGGGGGTCAGCCAACGCGCCGTTGTCTGCAGGATCCTGCAGGGCCAGGGTCTCGAGCAGTTGCGAGGCGTCCTGGCTCGCCTATGGGCCCACCAAAGCATGTTCTAAGAACCTTTTGTGGTTAGTGCGAGCTGTTGTTAGAACATTTCTGGCTGGGACTGTCTTGTTTTTGTCATGAGAACATGGTTTTGTTATTCGAACATTTGGGGGTTCTAAGAACACTTCGTGGTAGGCCTACAGGAATGCAAGGACGGTCGGTCCCTGCTCAACGGTCGCACTGACCTGGGTTTGGGTGAAGGATCCTGCAGGATTTTGTAGGATCCTTCGCATTGGTCCGGGCTTGGGTGCAGGATCCTGCAGGATCCTGCAAGGCCCGACTGACCCATGTCTGCATTGACCCGGGTCAGCAGATCCCCGAGACCCCCGGGGGGCCCTTGGGGCGGGAGGGGGGGTAGTCGATTGCAGCCACCCCCTCGGAGGCCACGAGCCTTGTGAGGGGTGGCGAAAAATAGCCGGGGATCAGCCTGGGTACTTTCCGTCCGGGGGCCTCCAGGGGCCGCCCCGCGCGCGCGAACTAGAAATATTGTTGAGTAGTTACCGGAGATCTTAGCACGCCTCTGGCCCGTTGGGCCGGCGAATTTGTATGTCCCAGGGCCCTTTCAATAGTGGTGGGAGGGGGGGTCCTGCGCTGACTTCGCGAGCGACGCAGAAAAAACCCAGACCCCCTCGCGCTGTGACACAAATCACGTCGGGAGGTTTTTCAATATTTTCGGTCTCCGGGGGCCCTTCCCGGGCCTCGGGACCGTCAGAAGACGAGTCTGGAGGCAAAACCGGTCCCAGGGAAGGGGTCCAGACCTTGGGGTCGACGTTGCGCAAAAATCACGACTTCTGGGGGCTGCGAACTCAGCCACGCGCAGACGTGGGTAGGGGGAGGGGGGAAGATCTCCTTGAAGCAGCCCTGCTTCGTAGAAGGCGCGGGCTTGGTCTACAGGTGTAGGGCCCTGGCGCCTTCTACGAAGCAGCCTCCTGCTGAGAAGCCCCCCCCGTCCCCCCATCCCCTTGTGCGCGCCGCCACGCGTGAGCGACGCGGGAGAACGGGCTCGTCTTCACCGACATTGGCGCGCGAGTTGTCCGCGCGAGGTCGCGCGCAGGCGCCCTCGCGTCCAGCCTGGCGTGCCGCGCCCGCACGCGCAGACCGCCGCGTCGGGTCGCTATGCCATCTCGCGTACAGCGAAGAAGAAGAAGAAGCAATTGCATAAGCGACAACTTGTTGGCGCTCCGCGCGGATGTCTTGAATTTGCGCTGGACGCCCTTCCCTGCCCTGGCGCACGGAGCGCACCAGGGGCGGCGCAGGAGGCGCCGCCGGGGTAGCCCGCGCGGATCCGAGACATCCGCGCGGAGCGCCAAACGTGTGTACATGTGCCGTTTTTTTTTCTTCGTCTAGTAGGACCCGTCTCCTGTCGCTGCCCACGTGGAGTGCGCGCGGGCCTCCACTTCATGTTGGCCGTCAGTCGGGCCTGCCCCCCTACGTGAGGAGTATATATATATATATATTTGATATATATGTATACGTATATACATATTTATATATATATGTATATAAATATATGTATGTATATATTTATATATACATATATTCAAAGATAGCCAGAGCACAGTCTGGGGACTACGTTTTGCTGTGCTGGATTCTGCCCGTTCTTGTCTTGCCAATCGTGTCAACGTTCGCCCGAGCTCCGCCATGCAGGAGCACAGGCCCGACCGGATTCTGGCCGGGCGCCGCCCCGGCGGGCCCTCTGAGCCCTGCCTCTGCGAGGGGCGGCCGCTCTCGCTCCCGGGCCCGCCAGGAGCCCATCAGCTGGACCATCCGGAAGGACTACTCGGTGCCCCGCAAGGCCCAGCTCGGTCCGTACCCAGACCCCCTCGCGTCGTGAAAAAATCACGACGGAAGGTTTTTCGCGATTTTCGCCCTCTTGGGGCCCTTCCCGGGCCTCGGGACCGTCAAAAAACGATGCAGGACGAAAAACCGGTCCCGGGGAAGGGGTCCAGACCTCTGGGGGGCGACGTCATGAAAAAATCACGACGTCGGGGGTCTGGGTACTCGGGGGCGGGAAAGAGGGGGGTGACGACTACCCCGACTTTCCAAGAGGGCTAAAAAATAGCGCCCGACCCAAAAACCTATCCCGAAGCTATTCTACGTCTTGGTTTTAGGCTGTTTCGCTGAGTGCTTTAGGCTCTTAGGCCCCCAGTGCTAAAAAATAGCTCTCTGGAAGGTCAGGGTAGGGGGGGGAGGATATCATGGCGTGGCCCATGGTATCTCCCCAGATTTCGTGGCGCCTCTTCTTATTTTGTTACGTCCCTGGCCCCCCCGCTGGGCCGCGCACATGCCGCCGGTCATGATTTGCACCCCCCCCCTCTTGGACACCCCCCTCTTGGCCGCTCCCGACGTACCGTCGAAGTCGAGGATCCAAGAAAAGAGTCGAACGCTATACACCGACGCTTCTTCGGGTCCTGCATTGGTATTTGCACTGGAGAGCGGGTCCTGGTGGATACGGGGCCCTGGTGTATACATGTCTCGCTGTTTCCTCGGAACATCGGGGCAACAAGTATACACCACACCATCCCAGCGTCGTCTTCGACCCTCAAGAAGTCCTGGGATTGAGAAACAGCCCGCCACTGGTAATGTATATGTTCCAGTGTCCGATCAAGGGCACCCGTGCGTCCGTTCCTCGGAGAAGAAACGGCGCCATAAGCACAATAAGCCTTTTTGCGCTCCGCGCGGGCTTCCGGGATCCGCGGTCGGCCCCCCCGTGGCCGCGCCTCCGGCGCCGCCACTGGCGCGCGGAGGAGGGGGGTCCAGCGCAGAGTCAGGAAATCCGTGCGCAGCGCCAAAAGTTTCTGATCATGTTTTTTTTTGTTTTCCTTTTTCTGTTACCTCTTCGGTCCATCCTGACCCAGTTTCGATGGCCAGCCCCGTTCGAACAGCTTCGATACAGGCGTCCAAGTGGCCTGCAGCCTTGCCGCGCGTGCTCACTTCCCAGCTGTGTGCGGCAAGCCCGGCCACCGCGCCCGTGCCCGTGCAGCAGTGCGGCAGGAAAGAGGCTGAGTGTATGATCAGCGCAGTCCCTACGAGTAGTTTGCATTGGGCCGGGTCGTGATCCCGGCCTCGTCTTCGTCCGCGCGGTAGGGAGGAGGACGATGGGAGGGAGACCATGAGGATGAGGGGAAGGGTTCTTGGGACCATCGTGGGGCTTCATGGATGCCTTCTGTGAGCGCTTCCTGGAAGCTTCTTGGAGGCATCTTGGGGGCCTCATGCGGCCTCTTAGGAGCATCCTGGGGCTCTGTTGGCCGTCTTAGAGGACTCGTGGCCCGTCTGACATCTATGGAGGCCGCGTTGGGGGCCTCTCTGGGCCGCGTTGGTGCCCCCTTGGAGCAGCCCACGACCGTTATGTAGCGTTCTTGAAAAGTCTTGGCTGCCGTCTTGAGGCTCCCAAGGAGGCCCCAATGCAGATAAAAAAAGCCCCCACACGGCCCAAGAGTTCTCCACGAGGCCCTCCAGGAGAGCCTGAAGAGGCTGAAACCATTGATTGTCCTTAGTTTATTGAAAGGTTTTGAGGTTCTGGCATGTTTGGGTTTCCGACCGCCCAAGACAGCCCACGAGGCCTCTCTGGGCAGTCTCGTTGCTCTACTGGGCGATCTGTGGGTCCTCTTGGGCCGACTTGGGGCCCTCTTTTGGAGCCTCTTGGGCTCTCTCGGAGCTGTGGTTTGGAGGCCTCTTGGAAGCGTATTGGGCCGCCTTGCGCAGTCGAAAACCCGACGTCGAACACCCAACCAGGTGAGAACCTCGACATCTTGTTTATGAACCTAGGGAATATAGATATGTTTAGCCCCTTTGGGCTGTCCATGAAGTCTTGCGGCTCTCACTGAGAGGCTCTTGAGCTGTCTTGGGCCATCTTGAGCCGTTTTGTTGTCGTCTTGGTTGTTCTGGAAGCCGTCTTGGAGGCCATTTTGGCCGTCTGGAGGCTAAAACGACAGCCAGAAAGCAATTCGCAATTTCGAAGGGGCGTGTTTTTTACGTGTGCGCGCGAGGAGGGGGGGGGCTTAACATTGAGAAACCTCCCAGATAACAGACGAGCACTCAAATTTGCCCACTCTGGTCAGGCATGGTGGCGCATCAGTGTTCACTGTATTTCTAGTATTCCTCGACCCAGCTGACATCAGGGAGACGAGGGAGATGGAGCAGGAGGTGGAGGAGGAGGAGAAGGCGGAGGAGGAGGAAAACGATGAGGAAAAGGAGGAGGAAGAGGGAGGAGGAGGAGGAGGAGGAGGAGGAGGAGGAGGAGGAGGAGGAGGAGGAGAAGGAGCGGGAGAATCGCGAAGCGAGGAGGAGGAGGAGGAGCAGCAGGGGGAGGAGCAGCAAGAGGAGAAGGGGTTGAGGAGGAGGAGGAGGTGGAGCAGGAGGAGCAGGATAAGGAGGAGGAGGGGAGGAGGAGGAGGAGGAGGAGGAGGAGGAGGAGGAGGAGGAGGTGGAAGAGGAGGAGGAGGAGGAGGTGGAGGAGCAGGAGCAGGAGGAGGAAGAAGAGGGAGCAGGAGGAGTGGGCGAATCGCGAAGCGACGCTGTCGGACGTGACGTGTCTGACGTTTTGCTAGGCTTCCGGAGACCTGCGGCGGCTTCGGGACATTTCTGGAGACATCCAGAGGCGTCACCAGACCCCTTGATCGGACGGGGCTAGGACGAGGAGAAGTCCGTTCGAGAGCGTTCCAGAGAGCTCTAGAACGCTCTGAGAAGGCCGCCGCGTCCGAGACATCCTCCAGAAAGGCAAGAACTCAGAGACTCTCGGTTTTTCCCTCATCCGATTTTATCCTTGTCCTGGCTTCGTCTTACCCGAGGCTGCCGGAGACCTCGAGGGATGGAGGAGGAACGGGATGAGGAGAGAGGGTGGATGATGAGGAGCGGAGGGACGAGTATTTAGAGATGTGCGTGGCGGTTGTTGGGTTTCTTTCACCGTCAGTAGTTCCAGGGTGTCAGTGTGCACTTTTTGGAAAACCCTACTGCATCATCCGAAGGATCTGCTAATAAGAGGGTATGGTGTTGCTTCTCCGCGCACTCATGGTCTGTGCGCATCAGCATTCGCCAGCCTGCGCGAGCTACGTGACACACGCGTCTTTGGCTACTGTATCGGCGACCGTTTGATGTGTTTGGTCGTCGGTGTTTGTTTGTCGTTGTGTGTGTGCGCGTGTTTTGTTATCCAGCTGCCTGCGACAAGTCGCGCCACTGTGCCAGCCCAGTAGTCTGGGTGGCGACTCTGCGAGAAAGCACGGGAGGCCGTCACGTGTAACACCTCGTGTCTTCAGGCTTAGGTGAGTTGTATGTGGAGGTGGAGGAGGAAGAGGAGGAGCTGGAGCTGGAGGAGAGGGGGAGGAGGAGGAGGAGGAGGAGGAGGAGGAGGAGGAGGAGGAGTAGCAGGAGGAGGTGGAGGAGGAGGAGAAAGAGGAAGGCCGTCACACGTGACACCTTTCGTTTTCACTTTTTGGGGGAGTTCTCATGGGACGTGTTTGGGCCGTCTTGTGGCTGTCTTGGCCTCCTGTGGGGCAGTCTTGTGGGTCCCTTTGGCTCCTCTTGGGCCGTCATGGGGCCCTCTTCGGCCGTCTTGGGGCTCTCTTGGGCCGTCGTGGGGCCGTCTTGGCAGTGTGGTGAGTGCCTGGGGCAGTCGTGGCGCCGTCTAAGGTGGTCAAAGGGCCTTCTAAGGCCGTTTTGGGTCCCAGGGGAGGCCCTCTTGGGCCGTCTTGGGGCCGCTTTTGATTCCCCCCCCTGGGCCTTCGTGGGGTCCTCTTGGGGCCATCGTTGGGCCCTTCAGGGGGCCTCCTGGGCCGACGTGAAGCTTCTCGTGCCGACGTGAGCCGACAGAAGCCAAACCTCAACGGTTGTGGCTTCTTCAGGCCCTGCTGTATTGGGCCACATCGTGGCCATATTCTGTCGTCTTGGGGCCATCTTGGCCCGTCTTCCAGTCATCTTGGGCCATCTTGGTTGCCCTGGTTGCCTGCCTGGGCCTTCTTGGGATCTCGGGACGCGGACACCATGCTTTCGGGGGTGTGCGTGCGGCTGTCCGGTGGTAGTGGTAGAGGAAAGGGGGCCCTCTGATCACAATCCAAAGAGACCCTACAAAGCAGCACCCGACACTCTAACACGCCCACGCCTTGCAGGCACGGCGGCGGATCGTGGTGCGTGTTCTTAAGTTCAGCCCCACGCCTCCGAACGACAGGAACAACGAACACGGCGCCCGGCGCCCCCATCCTTTCAATTCCGCGTTGCCTTTGCTAAGCTTGTTTCGGAACCCGTGCTTTCCCCTCGTGCCGTCGCTGTCTTTGCCAATGCAACCCCCCTTTGACAGGGTCATCAGCATTTGATACCTCTTTGCCTGTACGTCTTCTAGCTTTTCCAAATATCAACACCAGTTTGTCCAAGGGCGTTCTCATCTGCCATGAGCACCAACCGCCTTTGTCCATGATATTGTTGACGGCCATACCACCCTTATCCATGAGATCGCCGAGCTGCTCACTTCTAGATGATGGGGCTCTCGATGCGAATGATTATGTCGTTGCTTCTGGTGTCATTCTTATCCTAACGCTTGTCATGTTCTCCCAACGGATCCCCCTTCGAGCTTCGCGGTCCTCGGGCAGTCCTCGCGTCCTGCCCCCGTGCCATGAATGGACCCCGATGCTTCCGCGCGCCGGGCCTCCTGGCGGGCCCCAGGATCTAAAAAACGCCGACTCAAGATGACAAGGGCATGCCCGGGGAAGGGGGGGTCGAGATTTCGGGGGGTCCACGCTGTGAAAACATCACGGCGTTGAGGACTTGGTCTGGAAAGATAGGCCCCCATTCCATGGGGGAAAT